TTTTATATTTAAGATCATCTTAAGTATACTCTTAATGTGTTTTCAACCAATCACAGAGCCGTATTAGCGTCTTAAGACAACACTTAAGATGATACTAAAATAAGAATCGACTATGAATACCGGCCTAGGTCCACGACGCAGGTGCGCATACGCGTTACGCGGAGGGACGCACCTCCGGCACCTCCACGTTGGGATAGAGCTGCTTCCTAATGTCGATGGTGTAGTCTATCATGTTCGTCTTGCTGAGGATATCGAGTTTGGCGTGCAGCAACTCGTCCTCGTCGTAAATCTGCAATGCGTATGCCTGTAGTGCGTGTAACATAACCAAAAAGCGTGGCGCCTGCGGAGCGCCTGGTCGCCGCCGCGCCGTTACCTGCTTCGCCGACAGGAACTCCAGCAGCGGGAACACCAGGTGCCGGTCCAGGTACTGGCCTATGCGGGCCGTCAGGTCGAATTTCGCCATCGCGACGCGTGCGGTTTAACGAGTTAATCAACTCGCGAACGCCTTCAGCCCCGAACACGCTCACCGCGCCGAACGAAGAGACATCTCGGCCGCAACGTGGCTCGAGGAAACTCGAAGTTAGCGGCCATTCGCGAGCCGCAGGCTCGCCACTCGCTCGCGCGCGGAGAGAAGCGAAGAAGAGTCACCGGCGGGAGGAGAGAAACGATTGAGCGACCAATCGAACTGAGGGAAAAACCTGCACACTTTTCATTGCATATCAAGTGACAATTTATTTGCAGCAACGCTGACAATTAATTTTGCGCGCGCGCGCAACAGCCGCAATTGCAGTTAATTTTCCGCGCCGCTAGGGAGTTTCACGTCGCGCGAGGTTTGTCACTCTGGTCCAAAATAGAGCGGCGACTGTTGCCCGATTTCAGTGCGGATTATCAGACGAGAGTGGAGTTATCGTCGAGGACTGCCAGGACGGTTTCAGGCATTTTCTGTCACCGAGGTGAGGGGCTCGAGTTGACAGAATGCCACCGAAAAAGGCGCCGGCACCGAGCAAGAAAGCGGAGCAAAAGAAGAAGGAGAAGGTTATCGAGGTACGAGAGTTCCAGGACGCCGTTCGCCTCTAACCAAAAAACTCCCCCCTCCCCCTCCCCGGGGGTTTCCACATGTTTCCCAAATACATATGCGAGAAACCCCCGGTTCGGTTCACGACACAATTTCTTTCTGAGCCCACTTTCTTCTTTTAAGGACAAAACGTTCGGTATAAAAAACAAGAAAGGCGCCAAGCAACAGAAGTTTATCCAGCAAGTGGAGAAGCAGGTGAAGTCGGGCGGCGTGAATCCCCGGAAACTCGAGGATCCCAATGTGAAGAAGTTGGAGAAGGAGAAGAAGCTGAAGGAGCAGAAGGAGCTGGCCCTTATCTTCAAGCCGGTTCAGATGCAGAAGATAGACAAAGGTAGCGCGTCCTGTTAGGTGACAGACAAACTTTCAGCAGGGAGATAACGCCGTGACGAAACAATTTCCGCAGGTATAGACCCCAAGTCCGTCGTGTGCGCGTTTTTCAAGCAGGGACAATGTACGAAGGGAGACAAGTGTAAATTCTCCCACGACCTGAGCATCGAGCGGAAAGCCGAGAAGCGATCTTTATATTGTGATATGAGAGACGACGACGACAAGGAGGCGGATACGATGGACAACTGGGACGAGGATAAACTGAAAGAAGTTGTAGAAAAGAAGCACGGCAGTGGCAATCGTCCAACTACTGACATTGTAAGCTGTACAAATTGTATTTACGATAGTCCAGTCTGAGGCGAGCTCTTGCTCGAGTGACGAGAGTACGAAACGAGACGCTTTCTTTCGCTAGATATGCAAACACTTCTTGGAGGCGGTAGAGAAATCAAAATACGGTTGGTTCTGGGAATGTCCATCCGGCCAAAAGTGCATCTACAGGCACGCCTTGCCTCCTGGATTCGTCTTGAAGAAGGACAAGAAGAAGGAGGACAAGAAGGATGAAATCTCTCTGGAGGATCTAATAGAAACGGAAAGGGCCAATTTAGGACCGAATCAGGTACGAAAGATAAACCGCATGCAAAGAACAAAGTATACGGATTACATTTCCCAAGTAATAAAAATGTTCAACAGACGAAGATAACGCTGGAGACGTTTCTGGCTTGGAAGAAGAGGAAGTTGAAAGAGAAAGAGGAGCAGGCGATCAAGGACGAGGAGAAGAAGAGAAGCGATTATAAAGCCGGACGCCAAGTCGGCATATCGGGGAGAGAAATGTTTTATTTCAATCCAGAGCTCGCGGCGGGAGATGGTAAGGTTTCAGTTGCAGCTCGCGAGAATTTTTCGTAGAATTTATTACTTAATTCGCCCCTAAATACGGACGTCATTTAAAGGTATCGACGAAGGAGACGAAGCAATATCTAGTTACGTTCGCGAAGAAGATGATTCGGAGGATGAAGAGTACAGGGAACTCGATACGGATCGTCTCGCCTTCGAAGCTAGCGAAATCGATTCTAACGGTATCACGGTGGCGGCTGCAGATCGATTAAAGTCCAACAGTGCTACCGATCACAATAGAGATTCCACAGGTTGCAATCGTATCAATTAACCATAGCGCGTTTATAGACCGCTAATTAAGTACTTTAACCTCAGAGGCTTATGAATCACAAGTGATTCAGATTATATCTTAGACTTACAAGTCTATATAAATTGTATGCAATCGTTATCTATAAATCAAGTCTCTCTGAATCAAGGGAAAATTCCTTAATTGGATGCGAATGATAAGTTTGATCAATTGTTGTACCATGTCGTTCGTTTAATTAACATACGCAATTTCTATTGCAGTTACTGTAGACGAGGGTGCTGTTGCCGTAGCTATTAACGAAAATCTTTTCGTGGAAGAGGACTTGGAGGGTTTGGAAGAAGAATTGGGGGACCTGGACTTGGAGGAGTAAGCCAGGTGTCCCGCACGTGTCCGTCTCCTCACCGCTGTCCCTCTTCCGTGTGTTTCATTCTTCGAATACGTATCACTCGGACAACCATTAACTGATAATCAAGTGTGACGCATTGTATATTGTATATATTGCAACGTATTTACATCAATACGGTATTTGTGTACTCGAACATGTATACCAAAAAAAAAAGCTGACATCGCGCAAGCAAGTGATACACCAGAGCTCAACTTGACACCATCACCGTCTCCGATTAAAATCAAGTTTGTCTTTTTATAATGTCAAGTTTATCCGATGATTGTCTACGAATATCAGGATGCTTAGTGTTACACATAAAATGATGTACATTATTTTTGTAATATCGACACGATGGCGTTTACGCCTGATACACAATGTCATACGAAGACTTTTCTCCCCCCTTTATTTCTAATGAAGATTTTCTAGCCGCCAGGAACGTAAGGGGGAAAAAAAAGCATTGCAGTCTAGTCAAGAAATTGCCCGGATATAACGCATCAAAATGATAGGAATATAGGAAGGTACCAAAATCCTAATAACATGATATATTCTAGATTCACAAATATATATATATATATACTTTTATGAAAATATTTTTACAAAAGTATCTTTTTCTTTAGTCTCCATAAAAAAAAGCTATTAAAATTATCGGAGCATTTTCTCGCAATAGTCACGTTATAAAAAGCTTCGAATGTAGAAAAGAATAGACGAAGACCGGCGATCGTGCTCCTTGGATGCACCCAATGGCCGCGTTTAGCGGAGAAAGTTCCAGTCTACAATAGATGATTTAAGTCCTGAGCTTAAGTCCCAGTCTACAATAGAGATTTAAGCCCTAAGCCTTAAGAAATTGACTAATCACAGTCGCGCATTCTTCTCATACTTGACCGTGATTGGCCAATTTCTTAAAGCTTAGGGCTTAAATCATCTATTGTAGACTGGGTCTAAGTCCCAGTCTACAATAGAGATTTAAGCTCTAAGCCTTAAGAAATTGACTAATCACAGTCGCGCATTCTACTCATACTTGACCGTGATTGGCCAATTTCTTAAAGCTTAGGGCTTAAATCATCTATTGTAGACTGGGACTTAAGAAATTGATCAATCACGGTCAAGTACGAGTAGAATACGCGACTGTGATTAAGACCCAGTCTACAATAGATGATTTAAGCCCTAAGCTTTAAGA